AACAAAAGCTGCACTTCATTTTAGTGACAAACTTTGGTGTTTTTTCATGAGTTACTTTCATTTTTGCTTCTACTTTTCATTTAAGATAGTTTCCATTCTCGGTAGGTTTCTAAGGTTCTTCTTCTACATATTAAAAAAGTTGTTAAACAACTGAGTGGCACACTACCGCTACTAGTGRTGAGAAACTGTATTGCACCTTATTCAAAATCAATGCGGTCCYRCRGYCCAATGTTAAAAACTGTTGTTYTTTTGAGGCCCTCAAGGTGGCACTCRCGGCCCACAGRWTAAGAATCTCTGATCTAAAGCTTATCAGATTCTGTGCCATCCAAGTGATTTCTCAGCATTTAACWAAACTTAAGATCAGAGAAAACAAGACTTTCCATTCCAATTTAAATAATGAAAAACAACAAACGAAAGTGTTAATTGAAGGAGAAATAAGCTGCATGAAAGTCATCCAAACTGAATGCCTGCTTTTTAAAAGACGTAATTTAAGTTGAATAACTTGTTTAATTAATAATAAAACTGGTCTGATCTTAAACATTGATTGTTCTGAAACATTGATTAAACATTGATTGACAAGCTGGTGTTGCAAAGATTACATACCATAATTGTAAAATAAATCCTCTAGACCAGGAGCAGGTGGTTTAATGTCTTTCCGCCCCAGTCGGACCTGAATAATGAAAAAATTAAAAAGCATTTAGAGTATTAAAAAAATAACACTTTTTGGCAGAACTCAATGTGCCAATGGTGGCTTCACCGCCAGCATGACAAAGTGCTAAGAGAAGCTAGTCAAAGTGGAAACTAWTTGATCTAAATTAGATTATGACAGGACTCGGTGTACTTATGGACTGTGCTGTAGACTGACCAGTCTGYAGAATGCATCAGCCACCAGAGGTGATTAAAGTGTCAACAAACACATACAAATTAGCTTCTTGTGATTCAATGAAACAGTTATTGGCACAACCAGAACAACGTGACATCAGACACACACTAAAGATTTGTCAGAGAGTTAGGGTGATCAAAATTCTATTGCTTAGCCAAAATAAATAAACATTTAGTTTTGGCGTGCTAGGTGTGTCGCTCAGCATTTCAGCAGGAATGTGCTTTTTTATAAACTAGGCCAGAGATTTGCTTTACTGAATTGGCACCTACAGAATCAATAAAAGAAAAAGTTACATGAAAACTTTATCATGTAACCTTAAAAAACCAGTTCCACTGACATAAATAAAACAGCACAGAAAGTAAAGAAAACTGTGTTTGGTACATTATTTCTTAATACTTCTTGACAATAAGTCTTACATCRTTGGAAGGCCTGATAATTTYCCTTTTAAATGGTGCTACATTTGTAAGGAACATGCATTTGTGAGAAGAGCAGTAGAGCTGAGGATGTGCACATGAAATATTGGCCAAATCTTCTCTGCCACACAGCTTTTTGCTGTTGCTGTTGACACATTTTGAGCTTCTGATACCACCAGGTGGTGCCAATCAGGTTCCCAGTGTAAGAKTTGTTGCCAAGAAACACTGTTACAAATAAAWAATCTACCAAGGACAAATTTCTTTACTTWTAGTGCTAAGTACACATAAAACTACCCGATGTGCATACCCAAGAGTCAAACTTTGTACAGTCATCTTGGTCATCATCAGAGCAGTACATGGGTCTGTGGCCCATGGTGATGATCCAGGGACGGAGCATCCTGTTCTCAGGCTTGTTGGCTTCCTAAGCCACAATCCGTAGATGTACCACATTAATAAAAAAAGAGGGGAAAATAAGCACAATTATCTATTAATAACAGAAAAAAATCTGTAGCTTTGTAATGAAGAACGACAAACTGAAATAGCTGTGTTGAGCAGGAAAAAGAGATCTGTTAACCTCCAAATCGTTTCTCAGCCACTCGTACTGCTTGAAGAGGAGATCCGTGCCATATTCGAGGTAAAAGTAAACTTCTGTGGAAAAAGAGATGATGTGCGCTGGCCCGAGATCCCAGCTGCAGACACATATTGGTAAAATGATACACAGCTTCAACCCAGTAAAGCAGGAGTGTCCAAGCCTGGTCCTCGAGGATCRATACTCTGCAGCTTGTACTTGTTTCCCTGCTCCAACTCACCTGACTCAGTGATTGAATTACCTCTTCAAGTTCTGCAGCAGCCTGTCAATCATCCTTCATTCAAATCAGGTGATTTGGGGGCAGAGACTACTTTAAAACATGCAGGATAGTGGCTCTTGAGGACAAGGAATTGGACACCTCTCCAGCAGAGGAAGTATTTCCAATCAGAAAAATGCTGACTTCTGTTTAAACTAGGGTTGGGTATAATCATATCGTGTGCAGTTAATTGTCAGAAAAACATTAATCGGTTATTTTTTGGTACTTGATGATTAATACGATTAATGCCGCCAGGCAGACTGACTGGAGATTTCCTGTCAGTCCGCTTGATGCTCCTCTCCATTTTAAATATGACTAACATTTTTGAAAAAAGTTCTGTAATTTTTTTATCATAGCTCTGGTTTTAATTGGTCTCTCAACAAAATAAAAAATTTGATGTATAACCTGAAGTCTGTCATTTTGACATAATTTGGAACAGATTTTTACAAAGAGCAAATCTTTCCCACTGAAATGGTCATGTGACTAGGACATGAGGRTGTCCAGGGACTCCAGGGGATTAATCGTCAAATTAATCGTTATTGGCTAAATATCACAATTAATAGTGAYTAATGTTTTTGCCCATATTGCCCAACCCTAGTTTAAACTTCACAGTGTGAAAAMCACTTTTACATGTTGCTGCATTTAAATCCATCTTTCATCAAAAGACTTTTTGGATTCTAAAACCAGTTACATGCTAATCCCGCAGTATAAATGAAAAAGTACAGTTCGTGCGCTACACAAGTGGCACAACATTTTCCAGTAGCACTTCTTGGAGTTCCTCTTTGCTTCCAGTTGATCCTTAGCGTGCAGAAGATTGAAGGAGTCAGCCAGCAGGGCTGCCTGCGTTCAGGCCCACACAGAGTAAACCTGCGGTCTGGCAGAGTATTATCTTTCTGTCTGAGAGGAGGTGGTCTGCAGAGGGCAGTGAGTCACAGAGTCCGATGTATAGCTCCTTTGTGTAGTTGGCGCWCCAAAGATAGGAGGCAAGCACTGCTCTCTTCTGCTGACTTTTACAGTGCAGTAATACTTAGGAGCCTTGGCAACTTTCAAGAATTCCTTTTAAGCTAGWAGTGAGGGTACAGTCTGTTCCACTGAATCATTATTTTAATATTTCAGCTTCCTATGCGCATTAAGGTCAATCTTAAGTAAAGCGTCTTTTTTACCTGTACCACAGGCTCTCAGTTTGGCCTGGCATGCTGAAGCGATTCCTGTAGTTGGAAAAGTTGCTGTGGAAAAGAAAACGAGAAAGAAATTGTGAGAAATACAATTAGACGAACTGATCATGCAATCTGCATTCCTTGAATACATAATAAGCAGGAATTAGCACCACAAACTGCTGCTTTCTCTTAGCTTGTGGTGCACGCAACAGAGCTAAAAAAAGCTACAATGGATCCAAAATATACTTATGGTAATTCCAAGTTCTCTCTAAAACACACTGAGACAGCAGTCCCCAAACTAACCGTGTATATTTGTTTTCATTCCTTTGTATGTCCTTCTTTTCAGCTTCAAAAAAAGAAAAATCAAAACAACTCTGAACTTGCAGGGGTGGAATTCATGCCAAGATTCATTAAACCTGCAGCAGATCTTTGATCTTTAAAGAAATATACACACTGGCTATTTGTGTTTGCATTTTCTAATGAAAGGCTGCGTAAAGCCTCCATGACATCACCCCAAAACTCTGATTCATGGTCACTTCTTTAAGCCAAATAATCAGAAATTGGTCAACACTGAGGAGTCTGAGCGGAGATGAGGTCGGATAAGGAAATTGGGGCCTTTACTTGTCAATTAAGGATTTTTTTGCCTCTAAATACCCCCTCGATTAAAACCATAATATCCTGTTTAAAATAAAACTTTCATTTCACTTCCTGTAGTCATTAGTGCAGTCACATTTTTAACTTGTCCAAATTAAAGTAGGATCCTTGCAGTGACCAGTTGAACACTGTTCATTTTACTTCAGCAGACCATATTATAACACAAAGGCTGAACCACACTAAAGGAAAAATCTCTCCCTGATTCTAATCACTGATCTCCTTTCACGGTTTTTACTTTTAAGCGTAAAGGCAGGAGCCAGACTTTTCAATGGGCCATTAATCAGGCAAGGTGATGAAGATAATTGTTTTCTTATCTTRCGTAAGGGAGGTGGAGAAAAAATAATAATAAAACTATTTCCTCAACAGCAGACACTGCAGGGCGAGACAGTTCAGCTCTCTGTTCTGATGGTGTTAGCAAAAAATCTGAGGTGAAGTAGAGATCAACTGAGTCAAACCCAAAAATGATACACAAAGAGAAAAAGACCTTTTTGAATGTTGGATGGGTTTGACATTAATGAGGCCGGCAGACTCTGTGGACAGTGACGTCTCGTCTGAATAACTAGAATCATAATTCAGAGAAGGTAAACAACAGAGATGAGACCTCTTCCTGACCAAATCGGTCCTGATCTGTTTTTCCACATTATAGTTCTGATCTTGAGACTGAATTGGGAAAACACTGGTTCATACTCCCATCTTGTGGTTAGGAAAGGAATGAGCAAACAACTGAAGCCTTATGACTCTGAAGGAATAAACAACAGCATTTTTATCATAATACATACTATACTCAGAAGAAATCCAGGAAGTGATGTAATAGTATGCATAAAGGAAAATATTAGCCTATAAAACCAACCGCAGACATTAAAGCAGCTCAGCTGTGGAAAATCTGATTGAAAACAAATATGATTAGAATAGATTTGGATTATTAATCTGGCCAAAAGGATTCAGGGATAACATTAGTCATTTTCAATAACCTCCAAAAATAAATGTTTTCATATGTTTGCTACCCTATGAAAAATAAAAATGTAGTGGATGTTTAATTTAATCAGACTTTCCATCCTCATCAAAATTTTCCCTTCATCGTCTAACGAGCTAAATCCATGCAGTATGATAAACTGGAGGCAGTCATCATATTTCTAACTTCTGTCACCAGATATTGTGACCGTTATTTCCCATTTCCAAAAAAGGGATAAAAAACCATCCGCTGTGCTAAATGAACAAAGACTGTCTTGATTGGTGTCTTAGCATCTTCTGTGGRCCTTCTGTTCTCATGTCGCTGGAATGCTGAAGGAAATATTTTGCGGTTAGCTCGTTTCGATTGCTTTTCACCCGTTTGGGTTTTGAGGTTGGAAACATGGAGGAACCGAGAGGTACAGTGAAAAAAAAAAAAGAGTACAACAAACAACAGTCACCAGCTGCTAGGAATATTTGGATTCTGCACACCACCACAGAACAAAACAGACATTTGGGTATCAATGGAGGCTAGAAGAGCTGGTTTTCTGGTTATGTAATGCAGCAAAATGACTCTTGATATTGGGTTCTCAAGTCGGGATGTAGCGCCAAGAAAAAGAGACTACTGTTAACAGCTCTTTAATAAAAACCAGGCTGTAGACACATTACACGTGGAACGGCAAACTCAGGAACAGGCCCACTATAGCAGTGGCAAGTAAATATTATGGTGCAGGATTGGATAACCACAAATGTTTCAGTATGCAAGATGAATACAGCTGACTCCAGGGGCATTTAAGGATCTATACACTCATGAGTATTATTAATAAAAAATTGAATAGAAGCTGCCAAGAGTTTTGTTAACACAAAAGCTACATTTATATAATGATTTGTTAAAAAACACAATTTTTATTTGATGCAGCATCAAAATGTTTACATTTTAAATAAGGATTATAATTTGTCAATCTGCAYCTTTTTTAGAGTAACAAACTGACTTTTATATGTAGAAATCCAGAGTTGTAACCAAGTACAAATACTTTGTTACTGTACTTAAGTAGACATTTTGGTTATCTATACTTTACTTCAGTAATTGTTTTTTTGCTGACTCATTACATTTTCACACAATTATCTGTACTTTCTTCTTTTAATTTTTAAAATGTAAGGAGTATAGAGTCGTCACTACCATTTCATTCCAGCTTGGTATTTTCCATAAAAAGAATAAAAAACCCATTCASATACAAGGTACCTCCCACACAGAGTGAGTTTAACTGTGATTGGATGAGAACCATATTGACACCTTATTGGTTTGTATGATCCATTCACACACCAATATGGCACAAATCACATCACACTCCAGCAGGACATAGTAGACGCATGTAGTCTGTTTGAAGATGATTGTATCAGATATATAT